GTGAGGCGCGTGATTTGTCCTTGACCACAATCACGGAACTTCAAGGCGAGCTACAACAGATGTGGGGGGCGTGATTGGTCCTTGACCAGAATCACACAAGTTCCAGGCGAGCTGGAGGAGGTGTGAGGGGGTTGATTGGTCCTTAGTTAAAATCAGGCAGGAATCTGACGAGAAGAATTGTACGCAGTGAAGTCCGATCCGACCTAAGAATCAGAAACTACAAAAATGTAGGCCTGATAAGTCAGGCTAAAAAAAACAATTGGCCTGAAAAAACATGCCACGCCCAAAACCCGACCCTGAAAAACATGGGCTCTCACATGGGCGACCCTGAGCAATCAGCCTCCCTAAAACCAATCTGAGGGCCTGTATCCCGTGTAGGCGAACAACGGTCGAGATGAACAGGCGCGCTGTTTCTTCGGCTGTGATGGTTGTACGACATGGTGCGAAATGCGCCATTTTCGTCAATCGGTCGACGACAACCAAAACCGCGTCGTTTCCGCTGGGTCCGGCCGGTAGTCCTGTGACGAAATCCATCGTTACGTGTTGCCATGGGCGTTGAGGTGGCTCGAGGGGCTGCAACAGTCCTGTTGGTCGCTGGTGTGATGACTTCATTCGCTGGCAGATCGGACACGCGGCCACGTAATGCTGCACGTCCGTCACCATATCTGGCCAGTAATAAAACCGCTGCAACGCCTTCAGAGTTTTATCAACCCCGAAATGTCCCGATAAATTCGAATCGTGGACTTCTTGAATTAGTAATTCGCGAAGTAGACGATAACTTGGGACCCAAATTCGATCAATCCCGCTTCGTAAATAATAGACGCCTTTCCGTGTAGTGATTGGGAGATGGCCGTCATTTACGAAGAAGGGGTCAGTCGAATACCCGTGGGTAAATAGTCAACTCAGTAGCGGGTTGCTCTGGGCGACTAGTGCTGCTGCGAGTTGGGCAGATGGTCTGGAAAGGGCGTCGGCAATATTGTTGGCGCCTTTTTTGTACGTGATCTTGTACGTGAAATTGGACTCCAGATAGTCCAGCCAGCGTATCTGCCGCGGGTTGAGATTCGGCTGCGCCCTCAGGTACTGTAGTGATTTGTGATCGGTTCGCACCGTCACATCTGCTCCAGTCAGGTAGCACCTCCAGATTTTGAACGCGTGGACGATCGCCATCATCTCCTTGTCGTGTATCGGGTAGTTGTGCTCAGCAGATTGCATTTTCCGAGACGCGTACGCAATTGGTTGAAGCCCGTTGCCGAAATCCTGCATGAGCACTACTCCGATGGCGATGTCACTTGCGTCGGTGATGACTTCGATGGGCCGTTCCGGTCCAGCGATACGAAGTACCGGTGGCGACATTAAAAGAGTTTTTAATGTTTCGAACGCAGCTTGCTGCGTCTCCCCCCACTCGTAAAAATGCCCCTTATGTAGTAGGTCGGTTAGAGGTCCGGTTAACCCCGCCATGTTGGGTATAAACCGCCGTACGTAATTCACGAAACCCAGAAATGATTGCAGCTGCTGCAGATTCGTTGGTGGTTTCCATTCCTGAATAGCCTGGAGTTTTTTCGGGTCTATCCGAATCCCCTCCGTGGAGATCACGTGCCCCAGGAACTCCATTTCTTGTTTTAAAAACTCACACTTGGAGCCCTTGGTGATGAGACGATGCTGCTGCAACCGCTGAAAAACTGCTTCCAAATCCTTTAGATGTTGCTTCCGGGTCTTGCTGTAGATCAGGATGTCGTCCAGGTCAATTATCATGCATTTGTCGAGTAGATCGCGGAACACCCCATTCATTGTGAGTTGGAACGTCGAGGGGGCGTTCGTTAATCCAAACGGCATCACCGTGTATTCGTAACTCCCGTAGCGAATTCGAAACGGAGTCTTGTGGCAATCGTCAGTGAACACCCGAATTTGATAGTAACCGCCGCGAAGGTCGATCTTCGAAAAATAGCGATCTCCGCGAAGGTTGTTGATCAGTTCGTCCGTGCGTGGGATTGGGTAGCACGATTTTATTGTTACCCGATTAAGGGCACGATAGCCCGTACACATGCGAAGTCCGCCGTCCTTTTTTGGTGTGAACACGATCGGTGCTGCGAATGGTGACGTGCTTGGCCGAATGAACCCTTTCGCCAGCAGGTAGTCCAGCTGGTTGCGTAACTCCTGTAGCTCCGGTTGAGCTATACGCCATTGCGTGCATACAGTAGGCTGCGCGCCGGGCTCCAGCTCGATTTTGTGATCCTGGGGTCGTTCGGGTGGTAGTCCACTGGGCAAGTCGTCTGGGAAAATCTCAGGATATTCCCGAATGATTTTCGCCAAGTCATCCGGGACCGAAGCGCAGAGTTTGTTGATGTCGGTCGCCTCGTTCGGCTCCGCCGATTCGGTTAGATGGGCGGCGTATAAATCCGCTCCATTCTTGACCGCTCGGTTGAGGCACACGTCGAGCGTTGTCGCCAGCATCGGCGCGCTGAAACCAAAATCTTCGCCACACTTCATTCGAACGACGGGTACTTTGTCGCGTATCGCCAGCGGGGTGCCGTCCACCAATCGCGCGTCGATTTCGGGCAGACACCTCTCCAGCGTCAGGTGTAGTCGTCGTGCTGTCTCTCGATTTATCAGGCTGTGACTCGCACCTCCGTCGATGAATATTTTAATTTTTCTTCCGTTGAGTCGTCCCTCCGCCAGTACAGGGTGGTCCACTGGGTCATCCCCCTTATTCAGCCGGGAGCGGTTGATAGCATGTATCGGAACCACTACTCGGTGGGGATGGTGTTTTTCGAGCGATGAGGCAGGGTCAGTAGGGGGCCCGACCGCTACTGACGCTTGGCGTTTCCCGACCTGCCTTCGTCGTTCTTCTTTATCTGCTTCTTTCGGGGGCAATCGTGAGATTGGTGACCAGGCTGGTGGCAGTTGAAACATTGTCCCTTGCGAAAATATTCTATGTGCTCCTTCGACACTACGCCGTGAATCGTGGGCCGTGGATCTTGGCCACGAAAACTATTTCCCTCCCGGGAACCCGCTCTCGCATACGTCCGATGTGCGTCGAAGTTGTCTGCGATCCGGACTGCTTCGTGAAAAATCGCCGGCAGTCGCAGTCGGACCTCGCATCTAATGTCATGCTTCAAACCCGAAATGAATCGAGCTTTCTTCTCGGAGTCATGCATGTCGGTGATTTGATCGCATAACGCCATGAAGACAGACGCGTAATCCTGGACAGAACTCCATTGGCGCCAGTTGTCCAGCTTCGTGCGTGCGTTGTCGGAGGCGGATATTGGCTCGAAACGTTCACGCAGAGCTGTAACCCCCGCTTTCCACGTGCGAATCTTGGTCGATCCAAAAATCGCGGTTGACCTTTGGGCAGCAGACCCAAAGTTTCCGAAAAACCCCTGTGTGTCGCCTGCCGAAAACTCTTCCTCCTGTAGAGTATATCGCCACCAATCTAGCGCAGGTCCCTGCAGTAGTGATACAGCCAGTCGAATTTTTAAATCGTCAGCAGTGATACCAACGGCAATAAAATAAAGTTCCGCCGAAAATAACCAGCCCGTAACAGTAGTATTCTTATCTGTGGGGTTGAAAGGGGGCGGCATTGTCGGTTTGATCGTCGCTGTCGTCACGATCGGCATAAACGCCGGTGCGGCTACAGTAGCGGCTGCTTCTGACCGAGCGGCTGCTGCTGCTGCTTCTTCGGCTGTTGCTCGTGCTGCCACGTCAGCTGCTGCGGCGGCTTCACTGTCCTTGCGCTCCTGTGACACCTCACGTGCGATTTCGTCCAAGACGGTTTTGACACGTCCGGTGCTGGCGACCTCCTCTTGGGCGGCAGTTTTCTGACTCGAATCCTCTCGCGCCTGGCGTAACTCAGCATCTTCCGCACGAAGTCGCTCGTTGTCCTCCAGCACTGTAGCCATGCGTGTGTTCATGGCGTTGAACTGCTCCCGAAGCTCGTTGAACTGAGCTTGGTCCATTTGGCGAATGCTCCGCCGGGGCAGGGCGAAATCCGTAATGTGTATGTACTCAGGTAAGCGCAAAAATCAGTCTAATTCGCGAGCAACCGCTTTGCAGCTTACGTGAGGGACTCACCCCCCCCAAAAAAAAATCAACTCACGAAAACGGGTGAGCGAGGAAAGTGGCTCTGAATACCAGGTGTTATGAATGAACAAGCAGAGTAGCGCGGAAATGAATAACGAGATGTTCACTCAACGAATGACGATACAAGGAATGGCAAGCTAAGATATAGGAACACCAGAGCTAGTCTAACCATGCGATGGTAAGGTTCGGGAAGGAGATCGAAGGGTCTCGAAGTGACGAAGCGAGGCCCGGAGAACTCCTGAAGGTCGAACCGAAAGGTCTGGAGAAGCCGAGGCGGTTCCGTCAGAAGGTCTGGAACAGTCCCGAGGCTTCGGGTGTGTTGGAGCGTACGCGCTAGCAGTACCGCTTGGTAAGGAATGGAAAATTCCTTACAATGTGCAGTTTTAGTAACTCATGGACTTCAGGGTGCAGCAGTAACATGCAGGAAAATGCAAGACCATAACGCGAATTGTTTGTCACTCTGCTCCACTGGTCCAGTCGGTGAGTCCGTCCAAATTGACAGCTGTTGCGCAGTTAGAAATTACGCTGCACGCTACTGGCCAAGGGGGTGGCGATCGTGAAATTTCTAAGCGAATAAGATTTGCCTGCGCCTCCCACACACACCACACATTGCACCAGTGAATTTCAGTCTCACTTCAGGGGTTGTTTTGGTGCGTGTACAGAAGTACAGAAGTTTTTCTCCCTAGCGGCGCCACAAAAAACCGCAACTCGTCCGGAGCAAATCCACATCCACAACCCCACCCTTCCGCTTCTCCTATAGCCTTATCGACCTTCTACTAAGTGTCCTACACTCATCCCAAGGCGACACCCCCAGCACTCGAGCAGATTGTGTGAGCTGAAGCACTTCGCCCCCAAAACCACGAGAGTTTGGAAATTTGAATATTTGGGGACTGCTCGAATCTGATCTGGGGTGACAGGAAAACATCACAGTCTGAGTTTCCACTTGCCGCTTACTGCGGGCTGGTTTCGGTCAACCCAGCAGCTCCCTCCCCTTCATGTCTCCTCCCCTACATCTGTCAGTGGTTCACTCTCTGGTACAGGTCATTCGATGCTTGCCAACAGCCACGCCATGGGACAGCCATCAGTTCCCTCCCCCAACTGGATTTCCATGGCGGAAACCGAGGGCTCGCCGTCACTCACGGCGTCGATCGACGCCTATGTGTTGCGACCGCTGCAGCGCGCGTCGTCCGCCATAGGGTCGGGCGACCTCTGGCAGCGCGCCGCCGACATGGATGAAGCCGTCGCACAGTCGCACACAGGCAGCACAGCGACGACGAACGAATCGGCTGCGACAGGGAAGAAGTGGAGCGTGATGGGATCGACGGCGCGCAAGGTGCAGCGGATGCTGTTTGCGGACAAATCAGCTTCAGTCGCGGATAGAAAGACCAAGCGGCTGTTGCCGTCGCTGCTCTCGAGCAGTCGCCGGCAGGAGCGCGGGCACGAGATGACCCTGCGGGGAGTCGCAGGCGGCAGCTGCCGGGTGGAGAGCGAGAGCGCGGACGACGGCGGCGAGGACGGCGGCTTCGGGCTGGAGCGACGAAGCGTCTCCTTTCCCCACTTTGCCGACGGCGAAATCATCGACAGGGTCGCGAGCGCGGAGGAGCGAGGGGTTTCGGAACCCGGCGTCGCGGATCCAGAGGGGCGCTCAGAAGGCGACCTGCTGTCTCCGCGGTCGACGGCTGTAGCAGCGGGCGCGGACGGACCGCGACCGCTGAATGCGGACTCAGCATCACGGCCCGAACTAAACAGCCCCCACTGGAGAATAGCGTCCCCTGTCGCCGTGCTGCCCCGCCCCGTGCGCCCTCAGACAGCCCCCAGCGGGAGCGACTCTTCCCTCCACGTCGACGCGCCTGATTCCGATTCCTCGCGACGCAAAGCCGCGCCAGTTGCGCCTGCCGTGCCGCAGGAGTTGAGTGCGGCCTCGGGCGCAGAAGTCCAGCCGCGGCTCGCCGACGAGCGGTCACCCGTCGCCGCCTCGGAGCCTTCGTGTGCCGCCCTTACCCTTTCTGAGCCTCTCCCGCCCATTGACGCCTCCCTGATGCCACCGCTGCCCTCCCCGGCCGCGCCCCGTCCTCCCAGCAGCGGCGGGAACAGAAGCGGCAGGCTGAGGGCGGAGAGGGGGATGCGCGGGGGTGAGAGAGGGGGGGAAGGGCTTCGAGTGGATGTAGCAAGCAGGCGGCAGCGGTCGAGACACAGCGGCGAGCTGGCGTGGGCGGAGGCGCTGGGGGGGCAGGTGTTGGAGCGAAGCAAGACGGCGGAGAGAGACGCGAGCTCGAGAGGGCGGGTAGCCAGGGGAAGTCCTCGCGTGGGGGGCCACCATCACCTGTGGGCTTCCTGGGACTGCGACGCGGGCACGGGGATGGGGCGTGGAGGCCCAGACTCTTTGCAGGACGGGGTAGAGAGTTTGGATGAAGCAAGCTGGGGGGCTGTTTCGGTGAGGGAAAGGCCAACATCGTCAGGAGGCAGGGTGCCTAGCACAGCTGTGAGCCCTCGGGTGGTGAGGTTCAATTTCAAGCAGCACATCCAGCAAGTAGCGTTGGCTACAGCACGTGATGAATTGGCCCAATAAGGTTGTAGTATACCTAATTCCTTGTACCTGAACGTCTAATAGAGCGTAGCTAGAATGACTTTGTAGGTACTTTTCCCCTCATACGTTCTCAATGGGAGGTACAACACATTACCTTGTTTTCTAACTCTCTGCCGTCTGCTGATCTAACAGCGAAGCATCAAGGTTGAGGGAAGTCTGTTTTATGGCATGCGACCTTGAGGATTTTGCCCCACTTTCTGCGAGAGGGTTACCATATATGGGAAGCTTGTCGCGAGCCCGCAACATTTCTTGCGAGTGGGAGGCAGGGTCGCACGGTTTCGGAAGCTGGAGCTGCTCGACTGGCATCGTCCAATCGTCTGCCTTCCTCGGTCGTCAAACATTTCGCTGCCTTTTCATTCGCCCGTGGCCCTTCATCCATTCCATCATCTCCATCGTCTCCGTGTGTTCCTCTCCACCACATCACACCACACCAAACCATGCCACACCACCGTTCAGTTTTGCTTGCCAGTCCAGTAGAAAATGGTGGGCGGGAAATAGGAGGCTTGCCTGAGATGAGATGACCAGCAGTCATGGTTGCTTGACCTAATTCGGAACAAGGTTCCGCTGGTTCTGTTTCAGAAATCTATTCCGATTGGTATATTATAGTCAACTGATTTTTCCAGCCCACTTGCGACAACCAGCGGACCCATAGCCACATGTGCTGAATAAAACAGGCTTTTTTTAAATCGTGACTGGCTTTTTTTGGAACTTGTCCTGCACTAGGTCCTTCGCTTTCACGCAACGCCAGCGCACGCCATTGCGTCAATGGAGCGGCCGCGATCGACGCACGAGGACCTGAGCGTGGCGACGCCGTGCTCGCCAGGCGCCGAGTACCACTCGGCCCCGGAACTCAGAGGCACTCCCACGCCCACCGCTGAGCCGCGGGCCAGATTCCACGTCTTCGACGGCTTGGAGCCGGGCCGGTCGGAGCCGGACTGGCTGGGGACTAACCGGTTCGAGTCCGGCAGCAGCAACAGCCCGAGCGACGGGCGCGCGAGCGAGTCAGACGCGTTCCTGTCCGCGTGGTCGCCGCCGCAGTGAGTGGCCCCGCGCCCCCTGCTTCTAGAAATGTCCAGATCTCCACTCTTCATCACATTCGAGGTGGCGTTACACATTGATTTGGTTAAAAAAAAATCTAGGGTTTGGATGGCCGTGGATTCGCCGAGTTTGGACAGAGGAGTACGACTGTGGCTCCCCAGGAAATGGCAGAGCCACTTTATGCTGGCTAACCGCGCATATGGTCCGATCCCCTCATGTGTCCAGCGCAGGACGAGAGGATGACACGCGGAGCGTTACATGGTTACCGCCGTTCTGGCAATGGTCGCGGCCACAGCACGCGCGGAGCAGCAGCGGGGGGGGCAGCAGCGGGTGGGGCGGCAGCGGGTGGGGGTGCAGCGCGTTGGACCCCAGCAGAGCCGTGTGCTGCTTGCTGGATCCCTGCCGGGCCGTCTGCTCGCCCAAGTTCTTCTGGCAGGTCCAGTGCCCTCTCCCGCACCCAGTGCCCTCTCCCGGGTCAGCTGCCCTCTCCCGCCTCAACTGCCCTCTCCCGCCGCAACGAGCGGGCTGTTCCTGATGCCGCTTCTCCGTGTGCGTGTGTCTGAGCAGCGCAGGTGGCGTCCGTGGCGCAGTGGTGCACGTTCAACGTGATCATGATTCTCGTGAACAACGAGATCTTCCAGGTGCCACCGCACACTGGCCCTATTGAACCTCACGCAGCGTGCTGTGCTCTCCTCGCGTGTTCTCTCCATACCCATCGTCGCTGCCGACTTTTGAGGCGACTCAAAAGTCACCTCGTTACAACGCCTTCTGTCCATAGGCATCGTCGCTGCCTCTCCACTCTGCCTCGCCTCATCCCCTCATCCCCTCCCGCCCCCCCTCCCGCCTCCCCTCCCGCCCCCATCCACGCAGCGCTACGGCTTCACCTTCCCCTTGACGCTCACAGCCATCCACTTCGCGCTCTCCTTCGTCGGCGCCTTCACAGCCATCGAGGTGAAGCACACCTTCTCATCGTCCCTGCTCTCCTGCACGCACCACCTTCTGCCCTCCCTTGTTCCAAACTCTCACAGCTTGTTTCTCCACCCGCCACTCACCACTCACAGCCTACCACCTCGCGCCCCGATCCCCACCTCACCTCTGTCATCATGCCACCTCCCTGCAGGTCCTGCACGTGTGCCCCAAGGCGGCGGTGGAGGCGGGCGACATGATGGCGTGGGTGGTGCCCATGGCCGTGGTGACGTGCTTCAACGTGGTGCTCGGCCAGCTCTCCCTGCGTTACGTGCCGCTGCCTGCCCTCCTCTCCACCAAGGCCCTCTCGCCCGGCCTCACCGGTGCGCCCGACTTCACTCCACATTTTCCCATCCTCACAACCATGTCCTGCCCTTCCACATCTCACCTCCCCTTGCTCCCCCCAGCCCTACAATCCCCCTAACGTTCCGCTCCTCTCTCCCCCCACACCCCCCCCACCTCCCACCGCAGTGGCGATCCAGTCGTTGGCGCTGCAGACGGAGTACGACTGGCAGCTGTGCGTGTCGCTGCTGCCCGTGATGCTGGGCGCCATGCTGGCCTATGCGCCCGACGTGCACTTTGCGCTGCCCACGTTTCTGTCGGCGCTGTGCTGCGTGGTGCTGAGCTGCGCCACTGTCATCTGCGCCGAGGTGCTGCTCAAAGGCAAGCAGTACAGCCTCGACTCCCTCAACGCTGTGAGCCCGCTCGCCCTTCCCTTACCCCTGCTGCATCCACCTTCTCCACCCTCTGTTAGTTCTAATATTCTGTTTTGAACTGTGGTCTTTCTTTTTTGTTGCAGACTTGAATTCCTCCCCCTGCTCCTGACTTAGTCTCTCCCCCCCCACCTCCCCCTCTCCCCCCCACCTCCCCCTCCCCCTCCCCCCCCCCCCCCGTCCCCCCCATCAGCTGTACCAGCTGGTGCCCTACTCGGCGCTCATCCTCGCCCCGCCAGCAGCGGTGCTGGAGGGGTGGCAGCTGTGGGGGTGGTTCATTGCGCAGGCCAACCCCTGGCCCGCTGTCATCGCCATCCTCATTAGTGGCTGCTTCGCCTTCTGCCTCAACTTCTCCCTCTTTTACACAATTCAAAAGACCAGGTGAGTTGCCCGGCTTTGAATTACCGAACCCCCCCCCCCCTCCCCCCCGGCAGCTCCTGATCCTTGCTTCAAGCCTTTTCATCGGTAGTTGCAGGCTGTATGCTCACAAATAAGCAGTCCAACCCATTCGTGTTTGTGTTGTGAAACCAGTCCTTTTCTCGTTCCCCCCGTTAACCTTGTGTGCAAAATAATCCTTCCCCCTGCCGCCCTTGGCAGTGCGCTGACATTCAACGTGGCGGGCAATCTGAAGCTCGTGATCACGCTGGTTTTCTCGTGGCTGCTCTTCCGCACGCCCATGGCGCCCATCAGCCTGCTCGGCTGCCTGCTGGAGCTGGTGGGCGTGGGGTGCTACGGCTGGGCCATCTTCTCCATGCGCAAGCGACAGGTGGAGCTGCTGCGCTCGCCCTCGGCGCAGGTTAGGGTGGAGCAGGAGGCCAGTGATGACATTGTGCAGGTGTACTTGGGAGCCATGCTATAACGTCTCCGTCGATTTTGTCTGTTGTTTCTTGGCTTTGTGCCTTACATGGCGGGGAATCATGTGAACAACGAGGCTCAAGGTTGTTGGTTGAAAGGAAGTAGAAGTTACCAATGCGCTCTAATTTGGAAAGTATATGAAAAATCATGTATGTTTCTGTACGCGATACAGTGCAGTGTCAGGCGCGGTGGAGCACGAATGGGCAGCTTCTCGAAGAAGCTGCGGTTATATTTCGAAGAGCGGCCAAGGGAGTGCAGCATGCAGTGCATGCAGAACTGTATGCCTTGTCGCGCACTGCCGACTTGCACCGACTGCCAAACATAGGCATGGCTGACATCGCCTTACCGGTTCCTTCCAGCCCGGTGCCCTGCCAATTTCGCCACGCCAGGCGCCAGCGAATGGAAATCGGCAGACCGCAGTTACAGCAGGTGCTGCTCGCGTGGTACGCCATTGACCTTGCATTTCTCGCACGCGGGGCGCCCAGCGCGCCGAGCACCTCCGCCTGCGTACAGTACTGAAATGCACACGACAGCGCTGCAGGAGTCGGTAGTCAAGGAATTTCTTCCCACGGATGAGATGTTCAAATGTGCTGCATTGATCCTGTTGAGATGTGCCGAGACCAAAAATTCACTCCTTCCGATCTCCATTTTCCTTCCCATTCCACACCTCCAGCCAGCGATAACTTGGAGTCTTTACTCTACAGATGGCCTCGGCAGAGGTGATAAGTATTGGCGAGAGCAAGGCGGCGGTGATTGCAAGGATTCGGAACCTTGACGCCACGGCATGGGGAATACTGTGGGAGAGCGCGGCGGCGGCGGACGCGGAGGAGGGGGAGGCGCTGGAGCGAGTGCCGCACAGCGCGCCCTTCTCCCTCTCGAGCCCCCTCGCCGGGCCCGCGGGGGCGGTTAGCGGAAGGCGCAGCTGGGCCTGGCGCGACAAGGTGAAGTCGCTTGGAAGACAATGGCTCCCGCGTCGCGGCAGCTGCGACGATTTGAGTGGCACGACTACAGGTGCGGTGACGCCCGCTAAGCGAGCGAAGTCGTTTCCGGAGAAGGGGGAGCACGGCACTGAGAGAGACTCGCGGGGCGCGCGATCGCACGCGGACAGGCGGGGCGCGTGGCGGAGCGTTTACGAGCCGAGGTGGCTGGAGGAGGGGTTGGGGGAAGCCTGTGGAGGCGATGAGCGGCCAAAGAGCGCAAGCCAGAGTCGAGGCGAACTGAGAGCGCGCGAGGGCACGGCGCAACGAACGGCGGACGCTGTGCGCGCGGAGGCTGTGGCGGGCGCGGGGAGGTCGGCGAGAAGAGGCTCGCAGCTGCAGCGGCACAACTCGCTTCCCTGCTCGTGCGAGTCGCAGAAGATTTCGCCAGCTCTACTGCGACGCCCGTCGGCAATGCCCGGCGATAGCAGCGCTGAGCGCTCCGCGCGTTCGGTCGCGGCGGGAGCGCATGACCGCCCGACGTCAGCGACTTCATCGTCGCAGCACCGGCGCACCCCGTCGCTGCTCGTCATTCCACCGTTCCTCCCCTCCTGCCTCCCCTCGCCCTCCCCCGTCGCCGCTCCCTGCCGCACTGCCCCCTCCACGCCGCCACCGCCCACCTTCACGCCCCGTGGTGACCCCTCCAGCACCCCATCGGAGCACAGCCCCAGCTGCTCGCCTGCCGCTTCCGCTGGCAGCAGCGGCGGGCAGTGGAGCAGCGCGGCACAGCGGGCGGATGCGCGCGCGATAATGGAGTCGCGGAAGGGTTCGATTGAACGGTGGAGCCCTCCCAGCAGCGCGACCACAGACGGCAGTCCATCGAGTGGGAAATGGCGGTCCGCCGAAAGGGGCTGGTGCCAAAACATTCTGAACGCCTTGAGCAGTCCGAGAGGAGGCAGGTGAAGGACGCATAGGGTGCTGCTCTCGCCGTCGATCGAAATAAATTGGGTGATGCTGGTTCTGACGAATCTCGCAAGTTCGCTGTTCCGTGGAAAACAGCAAGTACCCACGAAATAAACGAATCTAGAAGTAACGAGGATAATTTATGGTGGAGCTGTTTGCCTAGAGATGTTATGTACATTCACAACTCTGTACATGAATATATTGGTCATTGTAAACGCAATTAAATGCGTAATTTGCAACGGGGATGCCAACAAACTTGGCCTAAGGCTGCTCTTCACCTACTGTACACGCCATGCCATCCATGGCGCCACTCATGCTTTCGCAGATTGCCCAGCCCGCACTCCGTGCCACCCCTTGCACCCTAATCCCCTCTCTTCTCACCAGAATACCTCATTCGTGTTCGCGGGTTTGATATGCGCCTTGTGATTGTGACGGCCCTCGCGGCAGCCAAGGGCGGATCTAGCGACATTCCCGGCTTTGCGCAGGAGGCGAGTGGAATACGTGAGCAAGGCGATGACGGCTTGGGATGACAGATGACAGCACGGAGGTGGTGTAGCATTTGCTGACGCCTCCTGCGCACATCCGCACTGCACCCACCGCAAACACCGCACTCGTCGCACTCGTCGCACTACTTCATCCACCCACCGCTTCGAGCCTCGATAATGGCGACGCCGCGAGTCACGGCAAGGCCGCCATCGCCGTTCGTGGCGGCGGGCAAGGGCGGCGGGTGCTGCAAGTGGCACGTGGCGCGCGTGTACGCGCTGATGGTCCTCGTCAGCCTCCTCGCGCTGCTGCTCTTCCTCCTCGTGCCCTGGGCCGCGTCGCACGGCGCCACCCTTGCGACCGCGGGCGGCGCTGTCGCCGTCGCAGAGGCGGGAAGCGGGGATCGTGTGCGAGGGAGAGGCAGGGGTCCGCAGCGTGACGGGGATTCGATGACTTTCGGGGGGAATGGGGGAATTGCGGAGAGCGCAATGCGGATGGGCGGAGCGCAGGCGGACGTGATTCAGGAGAAGGCAGCAGCCGTGGCAGACGCGGCTGACGCTGCAGCGAGTAACGAAGCTGCTGTTGAGGTGGATGTGGGATTGGGGGGGGAAGCAGGGGAGGTTGAAGAGAGGGAAGAGGAGGCGGAGAGAGCGGCAGAGGGGGGAAAGGCGGAGGGAAGGGGGGAAGAAGCGGAGGGAGGGGAGGCGCCGATGCCCCTGCGAGTGTACATGCTGCCACTGACAGGCGACCTCAACTTCCACGTGCTGCTGGTGGGTGCTGGTAGTGTATGGCATGGCATGGCATGGCATGGCGTGGCATGGCATGGCATGGTGTGCGCTACTCCCCATCCCCATCATCACACAGTGCCGCAATGATGAGCGCCCGCCATCCCACCTTCCTCTGCTCTCCCCACCTCGCCTTCCCCCCTCCATGTTCCCCCACCTTCCGTTCCCCCCCCTCCTTTCCCCCCACCCAGCAACGGTGGCGCTTCGCCAGCCGCGTGCCGCTGAGGGCGCGGCACGGCATGCCGGGGGACTGGCAGTTCAAAGGCAACTCGCTGCGCCCGCGGGGGGAGGGCGACGTGGTGGGGGGGATGGTGCAGGACGATGGGTGGGTGGAGGGGGAGGGAGAGGGGGCGGGGGAGGGCGGAGTGGCGGTGCAGGTGCCTGCGTTCGCGGAGGGGCATGGCGTGCACATCGAGCAGTACGCCGCGGAGTACTGGCTCACGCTCTCCCTGCTGGCGGGCGGGCTGCCCTCGCTGCAGCGCGTGCGGCGCGCCGAGGACGCCCACATCATCTTCGTGCCCGCCTTCTCGTCCGCCTTATATGCCACACAGATGAAGACGTGAGCGCTGCTTCTTGGTCACCCAGCCAGTGCTGTGATTGCCGTAAACCCAGAAAACATGTGGTGCCTGCTCCCAGCATAGTCACTCTGCCCTTTGTCTTGCCTTCCCTGCCCCGTCCCTCCCACCTACCACCCCAATACTCCCTCCAACCGGCAGCAACGAGAAGCGGCGGCGGGCGGGCGACACGAGAATACCAGAGGAGCAGCACCTGCTGGCTGTGATCACACAGCATGCGCTGTGGGGGGACGAGGGCGAGCAGGCAAGAGGGGCCGGCGAGGGGCCTCAGGAGGAGCAGGAGGAGGGCGAGCTGCTGGAGAAGGGGGAGGTGGCGACTGGGGCGGGTTCAGCTGGTGGTGCAGGGGAGGTGGGTGGAAGTAGACGGCTGCTGAGGGCGCTGAAAGGGGGGAGGAGGGGGAAGGGGGCAGAAGAGGGGGAGGGTCGGCAGGGGCCCGATGGTAGCGCAGAGCGGGCAGAGGGCAGTGCAGCCGTGTCGTCGCGGCGGCGGGACTTGCTCATTCCAGCGGTGCACCCGCATGCGCTGTCCACAGTGCGGCACTGGCTGGCGGCGGCGCACCTGCTGATGGCGGATTTCAGCCAGCCGGCGGAGCAGGTGGCGCATCTGAACAAGGACGTCATCGTGCCGTACTCCGCGCTCATTCCCGCCTTCACCAACGACTCGCTGCTGGGGGAGGCAGAGGGGGGAAAGGGGGGTGCGGGAGGGGCAGAGGCAGTGGCAGCATGGGCGGCTGGTCGGCCCACGCTCGTTTTCTTCAGAGGCACACTCAACAGACAGCAGGTCTGCAGCCAAAGCCACTGTTCTCCTCTCCCTCCCCTGCACCCCACCCACTCACCTCGTCCGCCTCCAACTGAACTCGCATATTCCGTCCGGCCCCTCCCCCCCTTGCCCCTCTGCCCCTCTCCCCCGCCCCCAGGGTGGGCGCATCCGCGTGGAGCTGGCGCGGCTGCTGAGCAACGTGAGCGGGGCGGACATTGCAGAGGGGTCGCCGCTGCAGGGAGGGGTGCAGGCCGCCATGGCGGGCATGCGCGCCTCCAAGTTCTGCCTCGTGCCTGAAGGTGACTCCACGGGCTACCACTCATGCGCATGTGCATGCTTGCTCAAAGCCTATGGGTTCCCAGTGGACTCACCACCACGACAGCTTGCAGCAATGCCGTCTCCTTCGCCCAGCCCTCTCTCTCCACCTCTTCTCCCCCCCCCTCCCTCTCTCCCCCATGCCAGGTGACACGGCATCCACGTGCCGGCTGTTTGACGCCATTCTGTCGCACTGCATCCCGCTGGTGGTGTCGGACTCGCTCGACCTGCCGTTTGAGGAGGCCCTGGACTACACGCGCTTCGCCCTCTTCCTGCCGCAGGCCCTCGCCCTGCGCCCCGGATATGTCGAGGCCTTCCTGCGCAACGTGTCGCACGAATCAGCTTTCACCATGTGGCAGCGGCTCAGAGAGGTGTGTGGGGCCTTTGGTGCGATGCTGTGCGTCGTCAACTGAGCTGTCTGGTCTGATCCTGTCCTAGGGAGTGTGCCACGACCTCCACATCTTGTTCATAACTCCTGCTCCTTGTTGCAACCCTCTCCCCTCCAACGCAGCCTCCTCAACCGTCAGCCTTGTTGCTTCCCACCGCTGCCCCCCTGCCTCCTGTGCCCCAACAGGTGGCGCAACATTTTGTCTACTCTTCACCGCCCAAGCCCGGAGGGGCGGAGGACATGATATGGCAAGCTGTAGCGCGCCGGTGGGCAGGGGACCACTATGGGCGGCGCTACAACCGGGAGAACCAACGGAGGCGGAGGAGGGTGATGGAGCAGCTGCTGGAGAGGGAAGGGCTGAGCGCTGCTGACATTGTAGTCAGACCTCGGGCGCTGCCTCTCTTCTAGCATGGCTAGGTCCTCCGCCTTGTTGCTACTGCCTTCATTGTAACATCATTCGAAAGCAAATAGAAGTCTGGTTGTTCACTCCAGTTAGAATGGTGTCAAAACACCTCCAGCCAGATCATCTCATCTGGCAGCTTCCAGGGGATGCTGCTGAGGTTCGATCCAACATTCTCCTACTAGCAGCACCAGGGCAAAGCACTCCCCAACCTGCTTAGCAAGCACAGGAACATGCATTGGCCTAGATAAAGTACCTGTGGATGGGTCAGCCAGTGCCAACTGATGGCACTCTTGTGGAAATCTATACCATTCTGTTAGAATAGGATGACAATACCGTACAACAAAAGCAAAGGTTAAAATAACTATTAGCTAGGATGTGCCCCACCAAGCACTTCCAGCGTGTAAGGGAGACGTGAGGGACAAACCAATAACCGCCGCAGGATACTTTGTTTTTCCAGTTAATCCTTCTTGCCTCCTTGCTTGTTAATCAGCGACTTATGAATATGCGGAATGACACCACCGCCAGCAATCGTGCCCTGCAAGAAGAATCAACACCAAGTCGTATCAGACCAACTCCCACGCTCAATGCAAACTAGTAGAAAGGCTGCAAGGCCGAAATGAAGAGCACGCGTCTGCCTCACCTTGATCAATGTATCCAGCTCCTCATCTCCCCTGATTGCCAACTGAAGATGACGCGGTGTAATACGCTTCACCTGTTGCACCACAAGAACGAAGACATAAACGTTAACGAGTCACCGATAAGTGAAAGACAAGCGAAAGCGAAAAGAGGCTGGGGCAGCACAGCAAGACGAGGTCACCTTTAAATCCTTAGACGCGTTTCCCGCTAGCTCTAGAACTTCCGCTGTGAGATACTCGAGGATTGCTGCGCCGTATACTGCTGCTGTCGCGCCCACTCGGCCGTTGGCGGCCACTCTCAACTTAAGCAGCCGATGGATGCGTCCGACGGGGAACTGCTCAGCGATAAAAGATGTGAGATTTCGCTTGCATCCAGTAGGCGAACAAAATGAATGACACTATTGTCTGTTCCGAGGTCAAGCTTAGCTGAAACTGACCTGCAAGCCCGCTTTAGAAGAGCGTGAAATTGGCTTCTTTTTGTCTTTTAGCTTGTCCAGGCCCTCTGGCCCCTTTCCCATTAGTCCCTTGGCCCCTTTCCCAGACTGGAATAAACACGGGAAGGGAAAACCATAGAGCAGCCGGAAAGCGTTTTATTTACCCAATACTTCTCGATTGATATGTTCGTGAATGGACTGATTAGGGAGCCAGACATCCGACGAAGAGACCGATACACTAAAATGGACAAACGGCATATCCAGCGCGTGTTCGTTCCACTGTCAAACTCATCGGAATAACAGCAACGGATGCCGAGAAAAGTGACGAGAGCACACACCATCTTGGTGATCTGATGTCTGCTTGGCAACGCTATGAAAGTTACTCGGAGTGGCTGGACGGTAGGCAAGAGCGACAGGAGTGAAGGGAAAATCGACTCGAACAGCGAGGGGGGTTGGCAAACCAAAGAATGCGAAGGCTTTCTCAACTTGTGAACTGGTGGAGGACGAGGGGTCTTGAGAAAACAGACGCCAGCAGCTCACCGTGCGATAACTAACACAATCGAACGGTGATGCGGTGCTTCCGCGACAAGCCATGGAATCATCGCAGCTTCAAGTTTGTGCACTCGATGTAGCTGTTCGTAACAAGATTTACGACACCTGAATGATGAACAAGCTGTAAAATGTTAAGAATTAGTTTCGGGCTTGATGGTGCCCAATACATTTTACCATGCGCATCAATCAGATTTTATATTTCAATCAAAACAAATTAAACTCTTCTACGCAGGGTACCTGTTTTAGTATTCACTTCAAGGGTCCTATAGGCAATTTAATCCGTTGACCACAACTTGTTTATGCACATGTTCTCTTACCGTGCACTTGGTTCCCTGGTTGCAGATTTCTGCGTACAAACGAGTCACTCTTACCGCGTGGTCGTATGACATTTTGGTCTGTGCGCGGGCTTCAGGCGGTGCGCGCTGCGTTCTTGTGCATTCTGACAAGGCGCGAATGGCTGCAACGGTCAGGGAGACTGAAAAAATGTCGGGCACCAAAGGAGATGGTGATTGGGCCTTCCCCGGTTTTGAATGTAGTACAAGTTGTTCGCCATGGGCTCTTTGAATAAATGTGAGCCCAGTAATTTCCAAATGCCCCTGTTTTTTAGGCCAAGATAGGGGCAACCAGCCGATAATTGAAACCATCCATGATGGCCGAAGCAAGCGCAGTCGTCACCAGCGTCACCTGTCACTCGCTCGCCCATCCAGCTGCAGGATCTTGGCGAATGCCCCTGACGCCCACCACACGTTGCTGTGTCCTCCGCGTCGTCCGAGTGCACCCCTCTGCGCCACGGCGGCAAAGCCCGACTGCCCTGGAGCGATCAATATTCTGCCACTCCTCACGCAATTCACCTTTCCCGCTGCTGCCAAGACTTTCAGTCGCAGGTTGCCATACATGCGCGTTAGGTTCTGCATGTATTCTGAGCTGCTTCTCCTGTATTTCCTTGGCTCGTCAACCGGCATAGCGGCTGCATGGCATATGCTTCAGCCAACACCTTGAGCTTCGTGCATCTCATTGTCTTTATTGGCAGCCGACATTGGTGACTCAGCGATTAACTCTGGCAATCGTTTCACCTTATCAAGAACCGTCGTCCAAGCTAGTTTGCTGAATTAAACTAGTTTTCTTGTGACTGAGCATAGGAGCCCACCCGCAGCCATGCCGTTCGGCTTCCAGGCCGTAGGCAAGACGCCAGAGTCAGCCATGTCGTTCAGGTGCGTTACTTGCAGCACGGCATGCCGTTCAGGGGCGTTGTGTGCGAGCCGTCCACGCCTGCTGTTATCCTACCGCTCAGGACAGGTCATTGCTCGCACACTGCCCGGATAGGGTGTTGAATCGTTGAACAGTACCCACCTAGGCGCCCGGCAAAAACTTCTGATGCATTCAAAGTTTCGCATACTCGCCTGCTCGGAATACCTCATTATTCGCTTACTCGCTTGAGGCACGGTGTAGATTCAGTAAGCAGTCGGCACCCTTGCGTATGTTGGGTGGTGTCAATGTCTCTTCGCCACGATCACCGCACCCGACCGACCAGCGCCGGGCGGCTGTCGTCCAGAAGCAGCTCCTTCCGCCCTTCCTGCCTCCGCCTGTCGCTTTCTTACTCAGCGCGTACTCGCTTCGTCACCGCACCAACCATAATCGCTCCGCACTCAACCTTCCATCGATCCTCATTCCCTCTCCCTCCCTCTCCCTCCCTCTCCCTCCCTCTCCCTCCCTCAACCTCCCTCAACCTCCCTCACCAACCCTCCACTCGCTATCCTCCCATCGTGCCCGTCTCTCATCGCCCAGCCTTGTCTCGCGTCTCTTCCAAACTCCCCCTCCTTCCCTCGCCTCACTCCACACGTTCCCCTCTCTCTCCTCCAACCCTCCACCCCTGCCCAATCCCCGCAGCGCGTACAGTCGTCGCGGCAAGCAGTCGGTCAGCCGGGAGGCGGGCGTGGGTCGCCTGATTGTGCCGGCCACGTGTCTCGTTCTCTTCGCCACCGCGCTCATCTGGGCGTCTCCCCACAGCCGCCGCGCCCTCCACGCCCACTCCGCGCAAGGCACGCCTCCCACACCCCCCTCTCTCTGCCTTCCTGCCATCTCCCTTGGCGTCCACTCCCCACCTTGGTCGATTTGTCGCGCGCCCACATGCATCCCGCTCCCCTCGCCTGCGCTGCTCCTCGCTGCCTGCGGCCATCAAGCAGCACGTCTCTGCCCGTCGCGCCGTTACCCATCTCGCGCTCCTTACCCTTCTCATCTCTCGCCTCTGCGACCGCCTTTTGAGTCGACTCAAAGTCTCCTTCTCATCTCTCGCCTCTGCGACCGCCTCTGCTCACCGCGCGCCGTTCTCTCGTCTCCGTCCCCCGCCCGCTTTTTTCTCCTCTTCCCAATCCTGTCCGCCCGTCCCCCGTGTTTGCAGGAAGCGGCGCGGCTGATGTGTCCGTATTACAAGTGAGTAACCGCAAAACCCCGTTTCCGAATGCACGCCTCTTACGAGTCTGCTTCCATCGCGCTTCCCTGCCCTCTCGTCTCCCTTCCAATCGCATCGCCCCGCGCCCTCATTCTCGTTCTCTATCCTCGGGTCTCCTTCCGCCTCTCCCCCGCCCCCCTCCCCACTCAGGCAGTGGGCGTGGGCGTGGGCGAGCCCATCGAGATCCGCTACGAGAACCGCGAGATCATGGAGCTGCCGGCGGCCGGCACGGACGCGGCGATCGCCGCCTTCCAGTCGGAGCTGGAGGAGTCGGCGGGCATGGCGGCGGCCGACGAGCAGGGCGCGGCGGAGGGGGAAGCGGAGAGTGGGAGCGGCGGAAACAGTTTTTTGGAGGCTGTGGAAGCGCTGAAGGCGGAAGGGGAGGAGGGGGAGGGCGGGGCAGAGCAGAGCGAGGGGGGGCAGGGCGCGACACAGGGGGACGGGGGAATGGAGAAGGCAGGGGCGCAGGACGTAAAAGCGGTATTGGCGGAAGCGGTGGGGGGGGCGGAAAGCGGGGGCAGCAGCAGCGGTGCTGCGGGAGCTGGCGAGTCGAGCGCGTCTGAGCAGCAGGAGGGGTCGGCGAGTGAGCCAGTGGGCGAGGGGGCTCTCAAGCCAGCCCCGCCCGATGCCGGCTCTACCTCCTCCCCGCCCCCCGCATCATCTGCCAATTCCTCCTCCTCGCCGCCCGCCTCGTCTTCCCCCTCGCGCGCGGATCTGGTGGAGCGGTTGCGCAACTTGACGGCGGTGCTGGAGGGCGTTCTCCCGCTGGCGGAGGAGAGGGGGAACGCGCAGCTGGTAAAGCACATGCGCGGGGCGGCGGAGAAGAGCCGCGCGGTGATGGCGCGGTGGGAGGAGAGCGGCGCGTGGGGCGGCGACGAGAAGGTGACGGCGCTGGTGAAGCTGCTGGAGGCGGTGGCGGCGCGCGCCAAGGAGTGGCGCGGCAACGCCGCCACCATCGAGAAGCTGCGCGGGGAGGTGGCGCGCGGCAAGGCCAAGGTGGCGGCGCTCACGGCGGAGCGCAACCAGCTGGACTTGGCGGCCGCCAAGGCGCTGCCCAAGTCGCTGCACTGCTTCAACCTGCGCCTCACCGTCGTAAGCCCACGGGCCAGGCCCCACGCCTCGAGGCTTGGGCCTTGGGCCTTGGGCTTTGGGCCTTGCTGTCGCTGCGCTGAGATGCAGGGCGCCGTGCTTCGTGCCTGCTTGAGACCGCACTCACTCCCATCCCCTCGTCCCTCCCCTCCGCCCGTACGCCCCTGCCTCCCCCCCACCCCCCCACCCCCAGGAGTACGGCAGCAACAAGGACCTGCGGGCAGCGGCGCGCAGGCGGGAGCGCAAGCAGCGCGCGCTGTTCTCGGACCCCGCGCTGATGCACTACGCGCTCTTCTCCGACAACGTGCTGGCCGTCGCCACCGTGCTGCGGTCGCTGGAGGCCAACAGCCGGCAGCCAGACAGGTGGGCGGCAGGAAAGGGCAGGCGGCAGGTGAAACAGCAGGCGGCAGGTGAAAGACCCCTTGCTTGCAGGTGAAAGGTCCGTTGCTCCGAGAGACTCCATCGTCCGGCACTCGTGCCATCCTCCTGCCCCCAGGCGTCCCATCTTCGCCACCCATCGCTGTTCACCCCCCTGCCCCCCGCCCCCCCCCCCCCCCCCCAGGCACGTGGTGCACGTGGTGACGGACAGCATGAACCTGCCCGCCATGCAGGCGTGGTTCGCGCTGCACCCGCCGCTGCACCTGGCGCTGGAGATCACGGCGGTGGAGGCGCTGGCGTTCCTCAACGCGTCCTACTGCCCCGTGCTGCGCCAGCTGCAGGCCAAGGCGCTCAAACACTTCTACTTCACGCAGCACGACGACTGTGAGCCCTGCACCCCAGCACCTCTGCGCCGCTATTCCCGCCGTGCTCTCCTGTCCGCGCTCTGATGGATGGCTCCGCATCGTGCCGCCTCCTCCACTCCTTCCCACGGGTCTCATCCTCCGCTGCTTCTCCACCTCCGCCCGCCCCCTCGCCTCCCCCCTGCCCCTCTCCGTGCCTTTCCCCCCAGCAGCGAACCAGTCCAGCAGTGTGGTGCACGGGCCACAGGGGGGCTCACAGGCAGGGGCGGCGGCAGATGCAGCAGCATCGTCGGGGCACAAGCAGCTCAAGTTCAAGAACCCCAAGTACCTCTCCATCCTCAACCACCTCCGCTTCTACCTCCCCGAGGTAAGCCTTCCCGCCCCATGCGCCGACCCTCGTCCTCCCTGCGCCGTGCTCCACGTGCTGCTGGCATTAGCACACGGCAGCAGACGCCATGGTACACGGCAGCAGACGCCATGGCACACGGCAGCAGACGCCATGGCACACGGCAGCAGACGCCATGGCACACGGCAGCAGACGCCATGGCACACGGCAGCAGACGCCGTGGCACATGGCAGCAGACGCCATGGCACATGCGCCATCGCATCTCAGCCCAGCCACCTCCTCCTTGCCGCGCCGTACTCCCCTCTCCCCAAACCCTTCCGTTTCCCACCGCCTACTTCCGCCGTCCCGCCATGCAGATGTACCCGTCTTTGGACCGCGTGGTGTTTCTGGACGACGACATCGTGGTGCAGAGGGACCTGTCGCCGCTCTTCTCTCTGCCGCTGCACGGGGCTGTCAACGGCGCCGTGTTCACGTGCCGGGAAGGGGACGCCTTCCACCGCCTGCACAAGTACCTCAACTTCTCGCACCCCTTCATCCGAGACCACTTTGACCCCAACGGCTGTGGGTGGGCGTACGGCATGAACGTGTTTGACCTGCAACAGTGGCGGCAAAAGGGGCTCACTGACGTCTACCACAAGTACCAAAGCATGGTGCGTGCGCTTGTGTGCTTGCATGTTTGTGTGCTTGCATGTTTGTGTACGTGTGTGCTTTTGTGCGCTTGCATGTTTGTGTACGTGTGTGCTTTTGTGCGCTTGCATGTTTGTGTACGTGTGTGCTTTTGTGCGCTTGCATGTTTGTGTACGTGTGTGCTTTTGTGCGCTTGCATGTTTGTGTACGTGTGTGCTTTTGTGCGCTTGCATGTTTGTGTACGTGTGTGCTTTTGTGCTTTTGTGCACTTGCTGACTCTTCCCATTCTCCCAGCATCACTGACCTATCTTCCTCCGCACTCGTCTCGTCTCACCTCTCTGCTCATCTCCTTGGCCCGCCCCCCCCCCCGTCCGCCCGGGTCAGAACGCGGACCGGCAGCTGTGGCAGCTGGGCACGCTGCCGCCCGGGCTGATGACGTTCTACAACCTGACGGCACCGCTGGACCCCCACTGGCACGTGCTGGGGCTGGGCTACGACCGCTCCACCGCCCCCCAAGACATTGAGCGCGCCGCCGTGCTGCACTACAATGGCAACTCGGTGAGGGGGGGGCCATGCCGCCATGCCCATCTCCATGCCCATGCCGCCATGCCCATGCTGCCATGCCCATGCTGCCATGCCCATGCTGCCATGCATGTGTCTAAGCACATCCATGCTGCCCCCCACAGTACATTGCTGCTCTCCTTGCTTGCCTCATACTTCCCACTCACCTCAGCCTCTCACGCTTCCCCCTCATATCCCTCCTTCCTCTTGCCCCACTCCCCTTCTCACGTCCACTGCCCCCCCCCCCCCCTCCCCCCCCCGGTTGGGTTGGGTTGGCAGAAGCCGTGGCTGGACACGGCGATGAAGGAGTTCAAGCCGCTGTGGAGCAAGTACGTGCTGGCGGACGACGACATCGTGCAGCAGTGCAACATCGACCTGCACTAGCCCGCGCACCCCACTTCCGGCACTGCCTCGAGCACGCCACTTGATCAACACGCGCATGCAGACTGTGCATCAATACACACTGCATACGAGCACACGGCACATGGCACGTGGCACATGGGTACATGTCGCATGGCACATGGCACATGACACATGGCACACAGCCTGTGCGTGCCATCAAGACGCACCCCGTGGTGCACTGCGCGGATGGCACTGCCTGAGGGGCGGGCAGCCAGCCAGCAGCAACAGCACTGTCCCGTCCGTCACCTCGTCCAGCCGAAGCACACATCCATCTATCCACCTGCCCGCCTCCATCCCTGCTCAACTCCTCTCAAGCACCCCCTTCCAGCGCTCCACTGCCCGCCATACATGCAGCTCCAAGGGCTGGTGAGTCCAGCTGCAGCTTGAGTGAATAGTGTGTTGCTGTAGGACGAATAGGACATAGGACCTAGGACCTAGGATAGTACGCTAGCTGTGTCAACTCTTCATTTTTTGTGTTTCCTACCTATCAATGCCAAGGTAAGGAGGCGCCTTCAGATGCCCAATTGTAGAAATTATGGAATGTGATAAGTTACTGTAGACTTCTATTCTGCACTCCAGACCAGACCTGCTGACTGCAGTCCAATCGAGATGCATCACAGCACAACCACGAGCTCTATTTATCGTAGAGTACTACAGGTAGTGCTTTTTCAAACCCAGTACTTTAGAAGTAATGTTGCTACGTTATGTAATATATAATGTATCCACACATGCGCGTGTATTAAGCATCAAATCTTCCACTTCACTAATTAACGGATGTGTTAAAATGTGGAACCTATTGATAAGCTTCACCATAAGTGCATCTATGCATACTTATATGAGTATCGATTGGGCTTGTGACATCCTGTCATTTGCACTGTTCTCTAATTCCCCCACAATAATGGCGTGTCCCAAGTGAACGTCTCGCGTAGAGTTTGTAAAGGTTCAGTAAGATGCCCCAAGTTTCATACCGGTGGAGCAGAAATACCATTTTCTACCGTGCTGGAACCTACCGTACAACAACGCACACGGTGTATGGGAGATGTTCTCTTGAGACACACCCTAACGCGTGTCACCATGTCGACCCAGCAGCACCAGCTGTTTGTCTCCCTCGACACTTTCCGCTATTTCCGCCGTCCGCCAACTGCGGAGCAGCGTCCCTCACCCACGCGGTAACAGCTCCCCACACCGTGGAGGCTCGTGCGGTAGCGGTACGGATCTCGACTTGGGAGTAGCGAGCGCGAAGTGTGAGTGGGTTTGCCAAGGGTGAGCGGAGCGCGCGAAGAGTGACGGCGATTGTGGGAGTGGGGAGTCGCTTGGAGCGGCGTGTGGGATCAGGATTGAGTCCCGATAATGTCGAAGTTGCTTAAAGCGATGGACCCTCTAGCGGGGCTAGAGGAGAGTGAGGAGGACGAGGAGGAGGACGGGGAGGAGGAGGAGGAGGATGAGGAAGGGGAGGAGGAAGAGGAGGAGGAGAAGGGCGAGGAGGAGTCGAGCGAGGCAGCGGAGGCAGCAAGGCGGCGAAAGGGCGGAGGTAGGAGCATGCGAGTGGGGAAGGGGCGCTGGCCTAGTTACGCGTTTCTTGCCGCTCCTGCCGCATGAACGCTCATTTCGCCTCCAGCCCCGTGCTGCCCTGCTCTCCGCCGTGCGCGCATGCAGCCCCCCCCGCCGCCCCCCCCAGCAGGGGCGTGGACTACGCGGCGCTGGTGCGGCACGGGCTGGTGGGCGGCCCGTCCGTGCTGCTGGTGCCCGAGGAGCAGCAGACTGGCGCCGTGGACTGGGGAAAGTGGGGCCGCGGGCAAGGCCGGGAGGGCAAGGGAAGGGGCCAGGGGCAGGGGGATGAAGCGGAGGAGGGGGATGGGGAGGGCGAGAGGGAGAGGAGGCGGAAAGCTTGGGAGGAGAGCCAGCAGCTGAAGGAACTGGCGAGCGACGCTGGGGCAGAGGTATGCCGTGATGGGGGGGCAGAGGCATGCCGTGATGGGGGGGCAGAGGTATGCCGTGATGGGGGGGCAGAGGCATGCCGTGATGGGGGGGCAGAGGTATGCCGTGATGGGGGGGCAGTCATGGCACACAAGGCATGCCGAAGCAATCATGGAATCCATTGCTCCATGCTGCATGCTGCATGCTGCATGCTCCATGCTGCATGCTGCTGCGTTGTGCCTGTCAGCTCACTCACTGCCTCGTCTTGCAAGCTCGTCCCATGTGCGCACTGACTCGCTCCACCCCAGGCCCCTCCCCCACGTGCACCTGTCCCCCCCACGCCCCGTGGCTGCAGGCGGCGGCAGCGAGGGCTCTGGCGCACGGCGCAGCGGCGCGGCAGCTGAGGGCCGACATCGCTGCGGAGCACAGGGAGCGTGTGCGGCAGCGGGGGGGCAGGGGGGGGGAGAGGGGGCGAGGGGGCGGTGAGCGGGGGGGAAGGGACGGCGTCGGTGGTGCGATGAGCTTCAGCCAGCGCGAGAAGAGGAAGCGGGATGCGGGGCAGGCGAGCCGGGGGAAGAACTACGTGGAGGAGGAGAAGCGGCAGCTGCGCGACCAGGGGGTCTACTCTGGCTTCGATGCGTAGCCATGTACAGGGACTCACTCTCACGCCACGCGCACCATGGATCAAGTGTGGTGCAGACAAGGAATGGATCAAGCTTGGATTTGCTAGGTTCGAAACTGCTCAATACAATAAATAAAAGTTAAGTGTTTGGAAAGAGCCATGTAGAGGGCGAAGTGGAGTGTACACACTGTTGCCAATTCGAGTTTTGCGAGATACACCCTAGGTTTCTCCACAGCACGGATGACTGTTGGACTTAGGCAGCGTGCATTCACCAACCCACGCGTTCGAGCCTAGGAACCGAAAAGTTTGTTTTGTGCCCTTCACAACGACAACTACAATTTCCGTTGCCCGCTTCCATTGCTATCCGCGCACTTCACTCGGTGGCTTACCGCGCACGCCCCGCGCTGCCCCATGGGCAAGCTCAAGCGCCCGGGGAGGGGGGGCGGGGGCGGGGGCGGACGAGGCCGTGGGTACGGGCGCGACAGGGACGCGATGCCGCCGCCGCCCCCGGGCGTGCTGAACAAGCCCGCGGCGCCGATGCTCGGCGGCAGCAAGGGGACCATCCGCGCGGCCTCGCGGCGGGCGTCGCCGGCAGCGGAAGCCGGCGCCGCAGCGGCAGGGGGCGGACGGGAGGAAGAATTCGCGCTGCTGCACGGCGGGCCCGGGACCGGCGGCGGGAGTGGCGGAGAGGAGGCGTTCGGCATGTGGATCAAACTGACGGACAAACTGACGGAGCTGCTGACGGCCGCCGGCGAAGATGGCGGGCAGGCGATGATGAAATTCGGACGGAACGGCAGTGCGCATGTGAGGGAGGGGAGGGAGGGGAGGGGGGGAGGTTTTGGAGGAAGGAAGGAGAGGAGAGGAAGGAGGGGAAGGGAAGGAGGGGAGAGGAATTGCGAGATTAGGGAAGGCAGGCGAGGAGGGGAGGGAAAAAGAGAGGAGATGATGGGTTGGATGGGCGAGGGGGAAAGGAAGAAGGTTGGTTGTAGAGGGAAGCGAGTGAGACGGCGAGGCGAGTGGAACGATCTTTGAAGCCGCGCTAGCAGCGAGGCGAGTTGAACTACCTCATTCACCCTCTCCCATGCCGCCACCCACCCACCCTCTCCTTGTGCCTCTTCCCCCCCCCCCCCCCCCCTCTCACCCCCCCTCCCCCTCCCCTTTCTCCCAGGCCATCCGCGTGGGCGGCGTGGAGTTCAAGTTCACGTCGCACAGCGAGACCGACCCCGCGCTCTGCGATGTCTACCGCCTGCTGCCGCCCGCCGCCGCTGAGGGGGCAGGCGGCGGCAGCGGCGAGGGCGGGGAGCGGCGCGCGCTGGAGCACGTGGCGCAGGTGTGGCGCAAGCTGAGCGTGCAGCGGCCGCTGGACGACCGCGAGAAGGAGAAGTGGCGCGACCTCACCAAGAGCACGCCCAAAGTGCAGAGCAACAAGTAAGGTGGGGGAGGGGGGGGCAGATGACGTGGGGAAGACGTGGCATGGGATTGATGTGGGCATGGCGTGGCGGGGTGGGGTGTGGTGTGGGCATGGTTGTGGAGTTGGGTCCTGCTCAAGGTCGGAGAAACCCCTCAGAAGCGCCACATGCTGGCCGTGCAGCGAGGGCCACATGCTGGCCGTGCAGCGAGGGCCACATGCTGGCCGTGCAGCGAGGGCCACATGCTGGCCGTGCAGCGAGGGGCAAGGATGGGAGAAAGAGCAAGAGGAGGAGGCAGTGCTCCATGCTGGGGCGTGCCTTGGCTGGATTCGGCTTGACTTGTCAGGGAGGGGAGTGCGCCCCATGTCGCGCCATGAGAATATCAGATGTCCTGTCCTGCTGCTTTTTGAGTCGACTCAAAATGTCCTGCTGCTTTTTGAGTCGACTCAAAATGTCCTGCTGCTTTTTGAGTCGACTCAAAATGTCCTGCTGCTTTTTGAGTCGACTCAAAATGTCCTGCTGCTTTTTGAGTCGACTCAAAATGTCCTGCTGCTTTTTGAGTCGACTCAAAATGTCCTGCTGCTTTTTGAGTCGACTCAAAATGTCCTGCTGCTTTTTGAGTCGACTCAAAATGTCCTGCTGCTTTTTGAGTCGACTCAAAATGTCCTGCTGCTTTTTGAGTCGACTCAAAATGTCCTGCTGCTTTTTGAGTCGACTCAAAATGTCCTGCTGCTTTTTGAGTCGACTCAAAATGTCCTGCTGCTTTTTGAGTCGACTCAAAATGTCCTGCTGCTTTTTGAGTCGACTCAAAATGTCCTGCTGCTTTTTGAGTCGACTCAAAATGTCCTGCTGCTTTTTGAGTCGACTCAAAATGTCCTGCTGCTTTTTGAGTCGACTCAAAATGTCCTGCTGCTTTTTGAGTCGACTCAAAATGTCCTGCTGCTTTTTGAGTCGACTCAAAATGTCCTGCTGCTTTTTGAGTCGACTCAAAATGTCCTGCTGCTTTTTGAGTCGACTCAAAATGTCCTGCTGCTTTTTGAGTCGACTCAAAATGTCCTGCTGCTTTTTGAGTCGACTCAAAATGTCCTGCTGCTTTTTGAGTCGACTCAAAATGTCCTGCTGCTTTTTGAGTCGACTCAAAATGTCCTGCTGCTTTTTGAGTCGACTCAAAATGTCCTGCTGCTTTTTGAGTCGACTCAAAATGTCCTGCTGCTTTTTGAGTCGACTCAAAATGTCCTGCTGCTTTTTGAGTCGACTCAAAATGTCCTGCTGCTTTTTGAGTCGACTCAAAATGTCCTGCTGCTTTTTGAGTCGACTCAAAATGTCCTGCTGCTTTTTGAGTCGACTCAAAATGTCCTGCTGCTTTTTGAGTCGACTCAAAATGTCCTGCTGCTTTTTGAGTCGACTCAAAATGTCCTGCTGCTTTTTGAGTCGACTCAAAATGTCCTGCTGCTTTTTGAGTCGACTCAAAATGTCCTGCTGCTTTTTGAGTCGACTCAAAATGTCCTGCTGCTTTTTGAGTCGACTCAAAATGTCCTGCTGCTTTTTGAGTCGACTCAAAATGTCCTGCTGCTTTTTGAGTCGACTCAAAATGTCCTGCTGCTTTTTGAGTCGACTCAAAATGTCCTGCTGCTTTTTGAGTCGACTCAAAATGTCCTGCTGCTTTTTGAGTCGACTCAAAATGTCCTGCTGCTTTTTGAGTCGACTCAAAATGTCCTGCTGCTTTTTGAGTCGACTCAAAATGTCCTGCTGCTTTTTGAGTCGACTCAAAATGTCCTGCTGCTTTTTGAGTCGACTCAAAATGTCCTGCTGCTTTCTCCTTGCATGCGTTGGGGGGTTCGCCATGTGCATGGGGGTGTGGTGTTAGTTGGATGGTGTGCATGGGCCATGGCATGTGCATGCTGCATGGTGCATGCATGGGCCATGGCATGTGCATGCTGCGTGGTGTATGCATGGGCCATGGCGTGTGCATGTGTGCTGCAGGCTAAAGCTGGTGGATCTCAAGGGCAACAAGGCAGCCGCCCCTGCCACAGACAGTACGCTGCCCCCGCCATCCCCGCCATCCCCGCCATCCCTGCCATCCCCGCCATCCCCGCCATCCCCGCCATCCCTGCCATCCCCGCCATCCCTGCCATCCCTGCCATCCCTGCCATCCCTGCCATCCCTGCCATCCCTGCCATCCCTGCCCTCCGTGTGGCATATCAGCACCTGTTTCGTCTGCAACCCTTATGATTCTCCCACACACCCCTCTTCGTTTTCACATCCCGCTGTCGCCCCAGCCGTCGTCCGCTGTCGCGCCAGCCGTCCTCTGTCTCCCCTTCACGTCCTCTGTCTCCCCTTCACGTCCTCTGTCTCCCCTTCACGTCCTCTGTCTCCCCTTCACGTCCTCTGTCGCCCCTTCACGTCCTCTGTCGCCCCTTCACGTCCTCTGTCTCCCCTTCACGTCCTCTGTCGCCCCTTCACGTCCTCTGTCGCCCCTTCACGTCCTCTCTCGCCCCTTCACGTCCTCTGTCTCCCCTTCACGTCCTCTGTCGCCCCTTCACGTCCTCTGTCGCCCCTTCACGTCCTCTGTCTCGCCTTCACGTCCTCTGTCTCCCCTTCACGTCCTCTGTCGCCCCTTCACGTCCTCTGTCGCCCCTTCACGTCCTCTGTCTCCCCTTCACGTCCTCTGTCGCCCCTTCACGTCCTCTGTCGCCCCTTCACGTCCTCTCTCGCCCCTTCACGTCCTCTGTCTCCCCTTCACGTCCTCTGTCGCCCCTTCACGTCCTCTGTCGCCCCTTCACGTCCTCTGTCTCGCCTTCACGTCCTCTGTCGCCCCTTCACGTCCTCTGTCGCCCCTTCACGTCCTCTGTCGCCCCTTCACGTCCTCTGTCTCCCCTTCACGTCCTCTGTCTCCCCTTCACGTCCTCTGTCGCCCCTTCACGTCCTCTGTCGCCCCTTCACGTCCTCTGTCTCCCCTTCACGTCAGCCTCTCTCCTGCCTCCCCTTGTGTCGCCCCACCTCCCCCCTGCAGTCGCCAGAGGCGCCGGGAGGGGCGCTGCGAGCTTGAGGGTGCAGAAGAAGCCAGGTGGGGGTGGGGCGTGCAGGTGGGGGGGCACGCCGGTGGTGTGAATGCACACACACAATGTGGGTTTTGCTAGCGCGGTGCAGTGCATGTGCCATGTGCCATGTGCTATGTGCCATGTGCCATGTGCCATGTGCCATGTGCCATGTGCCATGTGCCATGTGCCATGTGCCATGTGCACGTTCAGGCGCAGTGCATGTAAGCCTGTGAACGGCGTGCACCCCATGCCACACTCGTTGAGCCCTGCTCTCACTGTGCCTGGAGACCAATAATCGGCCTCGTCTTCCTTCTTCAGCCTTAATTCCTCGTGCTTTCCCACCGTCTGCCTCCCTCCCCTCCTCCCAACTGCCCCCCCCCCCCCGGCCACAATTTCCAACCCTCGCAGGGCTCTTCAAGAAATCTCCAGCGCCTCCCATCCCGCTGCCTGCCAAGCAGCAGCTGCAGCAGCAGCGCCTGTCGCCGTTGGCGCGCCGTGCGCCGGCCTCCTTCTCCCCGGACCTGGCTGCTGGCAGGGGCGCAGAGGGCAGGCCCGCCCTCGCCACGCCCCCGCGCGCAGCCCTTGGCCCCGACGCCCTGGACCGTGCGGCAGCGGCGCTGCTGGGTCCCGGCCCCCCAGCGGGGTGCGTGCCCCAGGTGGCGGTGGGCGAGCTGCGCGCATTCCTGGTGGACATCATGAGGCGCAACCCCAAGGGCGTCAGCAGAACAGTGAGACGGGGGGGGAGGGCAGGTGGGAGTGGCACGAGGGGAGGTGGGGGATGGGGAGAGAGCAATGGCAGGGGGAGAGAGAATGGGGAGAGGGGCAGTGGAAAGGGAGAGGGAGCGATGGCACGGGGGGCCATGGAATGAGGGCATAAGGGCGGGGTGAGAGGAGGACGAGATGAATGGGGTGGGGAGGGGGGAGGAGGATGGGGAGGGAGGAGGAGGGCGGGGATGAGGGGTGGGTGGAAGGCTTTCTCCAGGCAAAGCAGGTGTGCGTTTTGTTCTGTATGTGTGTGTGTGTGTGTGTGTGTGCATGTGTGCGTGTGTGCGTGTGTGCATGTGTGCATGTGTGCATGCATGCATGCGGGCATGAGTGCATGTGTTCAGGCTATGGAGAAGGCAACGGGGCATGAGTGGGCGCAGCTCGACAGAGTGGTCAGGCAGGTCAGACACGCACAGTCGGCCTCGTGTCAGACGAGCAGTTACCGTCTCACCTTAGAGAGTGCAGTTACCGTCTCACCTTAGAGAGTGCAGTTACCGTCTCACCTTAGAGAGTGCAGTTACCGTCTCACCTTAGAGAGTGCAGTTACCGTCTCACCTTAGAGAGTGCAGTTACCGTCTCACCTTAGAGAGTGCAGTTACCGTCTCACCTTAGAGAGTGCAGTTACCGTCTCACCTTAGAGAGTGCAGTTACCGTCTCACCTTAGAGAGTGCAGTTACCGTCTCACCTTAGAGAGTGCAGTTACCGTCTCACCTTAGAGAGTGCAGTTACCGTCTCACCTTAGAGAGTGCAGTTACCGTCTCACCTTAGAGAGTGCAGTTACCGTCTCACCTTAGAGAGTGCAGTTACCGTCTCACCTTAGAGAGTGCGCCACAGTTGTGTTGTAGCGCCTTTCTCTCCCTCCGCAGCTCACGCCCGTCTTGCTCCCTTGTTGCCTCCCCGTGCGTGCTCTCCTGGCGTGTGCTCTCCTGGCGTGTGCTCTCCTGGCGTGTGCTCTCCTGGCGTGTGCCACGGTCAGATCGCCAAGCTGCACGCGCCGGGGTACTACCGCCTGCTGCCGCACCTGAAGGACACCACCCAGGGGGGGGACAGCGGGGGGGAGCAGGCGGCAGCAGCGGGGAAGGCGGCCCCTGTGGCGGGTCGCTGCGAATCCCCACTGCCATCGCCCCTGCCCGCGCGCTCGCACTCCCCGCTGCCGTCCCACTCTCCGCTGGCGCCGCACTCCAGCCACAGGACGCCCTCGCGCTCCCCACTCGGCGCCTCCTCCCCCCTCCCATGGACTTCCCCCCGCCCCTCCTCCACGCCCCCACCCCACACCCTGTGAGTTCCCTGGGCTGCCACCCTGTGCTGTTCTGTGCTGTGCCAGTTGCAGCCTCTGTGCGCCTTGGCTCCCCCCATGTGCGCCTTGGTGTGCCCCTCGTGCGCCTTGGCTTCCCCCACTCACCATCGTGCCTCCCCCTCCTGCGCCCTCTGCTCTGCTCCCCCCTCTCCCTCCCCGCTCCCCCCTCCCCCCTCGTCCACGTCATTGCGTGGCAGAGCCGTGGAGTGGTCAGGCGGAGAAGAAGGCAGGGAGGAGGCGAGGCGAGGCGGGGTGCCGCTGCTGAACCTCAATGAGACGGGCTTCGACGACGCCCACGCCCACGGGGATGGGGACGGGGGCGGGGGGAAGGAGCAGGACGAGGAGGAGTTGGTGGTGGAGGAGGAAGGGGAGGGGGGGAGGGGGAAGGGGGATGAGGGAACAATTTCCGAGCATGCAGCATCCGCAGGAGGGCGAGAGCGGGGGTCAGGAGAGGGTGGTGGGAGAGGAGGGTCGGATCACTCACGGAGCGAGGCGGCGGGCGCGGAGGCGGGGGAGGAGGGGGGGGAGGAGGTGCGCATGGAGGATCTATTTGGGGATGAGGAGTCACCCGCACATGGCGAGGGGGTGGGAGGGGGGGAGAAAGAGGAGGGGGGATCAATGGAGGCGGAGAAACGGGTGGACAAGGGAGAGAGTAGTGAGGGTGGGAGTGGGAGTGAGAGTGAGAGTGAGAGTGGGAGTGGCAGTGGCAGTGGCAGTGAGAGTGGGAGTGGGAGTGAGAGCGAGGGGGAGGGAGATGCGGCGAGCAGCAGCAGCGCGAGCAGCGGCAGCGCCAGTGACATTGACATTGACATAGACGATGGGGAGGGGGCGGACAGTGGGAAGGGGGGAGGGGACGCTGAGAAGAGGGGGGAGGGCAAGGGGGCCAAGGCGAGGCACGAGGGGAGGGGGCATGGGCATGGGCGCGCGGAGAGGGAGGGCAGGGCGGGGAGGGAGGGGCAGGCAGGTGCGAGGCTGGGGGGCGAGGGGGCGGGTGGGAAGGAGGGGAGGGGTGGGATGGAGGGGAGTGGTGGGATGGAGGGGAGTGGTGGGATGGAGGGGAGGGGTGGGATGGATGATGCGGCTGGCACTAGTGTGGGGGAGGGACGGAGGATGGAGGATGGAGGAAAGGGGGAGGGTGGGGAGGCGCAGGGAGGGCAGGGGAAGGAGGAGGGGGAGATGGCGGGAGAAGATGTGAAGATTGCTGGTGAGGGGGCAGAGAGGGGGGGCGAGGGGGGAGAAAAGGAGAGTGGGACGGGCAAAAGGGAAATGGAGAGGGCTGATTCCGAGGAGCAGGGGGAGGAGGGGGAGTTGAAGGTGGGAGGCAGCGAGGATAGGGAGAAGGAAGGGGAGGAAGAGAAGGAAGGGAAGGGGGAGGATGAGGCGAGTAGCGGAAGAGAAACGAGGGGTGAAGTGGTCCAGAGTGAGGAGCAGGAAGAGGGCGCAACGAAGGGAACACAAGAGGAGAGAGACGGGGCACGGGAAGCACAAGAGGAGGAGAGGGTGAGAAAGCCAGAAGAGGATGTGAGTGTGAGAGATCCAGAAGAGGAGGAGAGATTGAGAATAGCTGAAGAGGAGAGAGTGAGAAGAACAGAAGAGGAGGAGAGAGTGAGAAGAACAGAAGAGGAGGAGAGAGTGAGAAGAACAGAAGAGGAGGAGAGAGTGAGAAGAACAGAAGAGGAGGAGAGAGTGAGAAGAACAGAAGAGGAGGAGAGAGTGAGAAAAGCCGAGGAGGAGGAGAGAGTGCGGCTGGAAAAGCTTGAGGAGGAGAGGAGGAGAGTGAGGGAGGATAATGTGCGGCGGATGAAAGAGAGGGAGGAGGCTGAGAGGGCGGCTATTGAAGAGAAAATGAAGGCGGAGGCAGCAGGGAGGGAGAAAGAGGAGATGGAGAGAAGGGCACAGGATGAGATAGAAAGGAAAGAAAGGGAGGAGAAACAAAAGAGAGAGAAGGAGAAAGAGAGAGGTGATAAGGAAATGAAGGAAAGGGTAGAAAGGGAGAGAAGGGAGAAGGAAGAGAAAAAGAGAAGGGAGGAGGAAGAAACGGCAAAACAGGAGCTGCAGAGTGAAGAGAGGGAGAGGGAGAGGGAGAGGGAGAGGGAGAGGGAGAGGGAGAGGGAGAGGGAGAGGGAGAGGGAGAGGGAGAGGGAGAGGGAGAGGGAGAGGGAGAGGGAGAGGGAGAGGGAGAGGGAGAGGGAGAGGGAGAGGGAGAGGGAGAGGGAGAGGGAGAGGAGACGGATTGAAAAGGAGCACAAAGAGAAGCAAGAGGTAGAAAGAAAGGCGAAGCAGGAGGGAGAGATTAAGGGTAAAAAGGAGCGTTTGGAAGAGCGTGTGAAGGGTGGGGAGGATGAGGGAGAGAGGGAGTTACAGCAAAAGATGGTGGAGGGCGAGAGGGAGAGGGCGAGCGAGGGGAGGGCGAGGCAAGCAGGGGAAGGCGATGGCGTGGAGGAGGCGGGTGCGGGACGGGGAGGAGGCGAGGGGCCAACGGGTGCAGCTCGGGGAGGAGGCGAGGGGCCAGGAGGGCTGCTCAAGGGGCTGGGGCTGCTGGCCCGAGAGGGTGAGGGCAGCAGGGGTAAAAGGCCAGAGGGCGTGGGTGAGGCGATGGAGGAGAGAGAGGGGGGGAAGGTGGAGAAGCGAAAGAAGGAGAAGAAGGGCAAATCAGGGAAGCTCGTGGAGAAGCGGGAGAAGAGGAGGAGACACGGCGAGGGGCAGCATGGTGCAGGGCAAGGGGGGGCGGACGAAGCGAGGGCGGGAATGAAGCGCCGGGCGGGTGGCGATGGAGACGCGGGCGATGGGCCCCTCGACTCCCCTGCGCACGCACATGGCGCCACGGCTGCCGCTCCAGCGGGGTGGGAGGTGGGAGAGGGCGGTGAGAGCAGGGCGAAGAAGAAGAGGCGGCAGTGTGAGGGCGCTGCAGAGGGGGATGTGGAGGAAGGGGGCGAGGCAGGCGGAGAGGATGGGGAGGATGATGGGTGGGAGGGGCATGACACATCATTCTATGAGCCGTATGACAAGGATAAGCCTGAGCTGATGGAGCCAATCACAACTCGAGACCAGTGAGTGTCCGTGGCATCGTATGCATGCCATGTCTGCTGCAGACAACACATGCATGCCATATCTGCAGAGTAAACGTGTTGGCAACTCGAGACAAGAATGGGTGAGATCGGAAGTCATGGTTGCATGTGTGTTGCTTGTGATGTGCCATGTGTGACGGCAGGTACAAGGCGTGCCATGCGGAGTACACGGACAAATACGCCGTGTATCTGAAGCTGCACTACATTCTCGACGCACAGAGGTCAGCGACACATGGGGGAGCCATACCACACCATGCCATGCCATACCACACCATGCCATGCCATGCCACACCATGCCATGCCATGCCACACCATGCCATGCCATACCACGCCATGCCATGCCATACCACGCCATTCATGCCATACCACACCATGCCATGCCATACCACACCATACCATGCCATGCCACACCATGCCATGCCATGCCACACCATGCCATGCCATACCACACCATGCCATGCCATACCACGCCTTTCATGCCATACCACACCATGCCATGCCATGCCATACCACACTATGCCATGCCATACCACACCATTCATGCCATATCATGCCACATCATGCCATACCACGCCATGTCATGGCATACCACGCCATGTGATGCCATCCGACACCATGTGATGCCATACGACGCCATGTGATGCCATACGACGCCATGTGATGCCATACGACGCCATGTGATGCCATACGACGCCATGTGATGCCATACGACGCCATGTGATGCCATACGACACCATGTGATGCCAAGCCATTCCCTCCATGCCTACATGCTGCTGGCATGCTCGGCCTGACTGCCATGCCTTGCCTGACTGCCCTGCGGCCTGTGGGTGGCAGGGAGGAAGCGGAGCGGATATTCACGGAGATGGACGAGTGCGAGGACGAGGGGGAGAAGGAGCGGTACAAGTGCAGGATATACGCCATGTTCCACTCCCGCCACAAGGTACTCGGGAAATGTTCCACTGCAGACACAAGGTACCCAGGAAATGTGCCCTCGAGACGCATCAGGCACAATAGCAGCATACATTTGTGTCTGTTTCATACCATTTGCATGCCCTTATGATATCTTTCTATCCCCATCCATGCCCTTCTCCTCACGCTTGGATGTCTGCCAACCCTATTTGTGGCTCCCGTTCGCTCTCCCCAGCGGCTCCATCAGATGAAGACGGTCTTCTCCACGCTGCAACAAGAGCTGGCGGTAAGCGCCGTTGCCATTCCATCCCTCCCCCACCTGCACTCGTTTCTCTCGTGCCTCCACCATCTGAGTGTGTTGCGCTTGCGCTTGCGCTTGCGCCTTCTGTCTTGTGCTGTTGCCTCTCTTCAATGCACACCGTGTTCTGAGCCAACCATGTGTGCCTTTTGAGCCAACCACGTGTGCCGTTTGAGCCAATCGCATGTGGCTTTTGAGCCAACCATGTGTGCCTTTTGAGCCAACCGCGTGTGCCTTTTGAGCCAACCACGTGTGCCTTTTGAGGCAACCACGTGCTTTCCTTGGGTGGTCTGGATCAGCCATTTTGCTGCTGTCTGCTGCTGCATCTTTCCCATGCAAACGTTAGTGCTATCAATCCCCTGAACTCTTTTGTTGCATGCATGCATGACTTCACTTCACATGCCCCCTCTCTCCCCCCCACTCCTTCCTCGCTCCACGCCACTGGTCATCTGCAGTCGATCAAGGCGCGAGTGAACGATTACCTCCAGCATGCCTGAGCACGACACACAAATTGACATGGCCCTGCACTGCACTGACCCTGGCCTGCAAAGATAGAGAGCAATCTCACAATTGCGCTTGCTTGCACGGTCATCAGCCAGTGCACGATGATGAGATGCCGTCAGTTGTCTGCAGCCTGCTTGCCTGTTGGGCAATTAGTTACCACAGTAGTATGTATCAAGTGACACGACATTCTACTATGTGTTGCTGATTGTCTAAGAGCGAATTCCCATGTCCTCCCGTCAGACTAACATTGTGTCAGACTCGACACGGACCAGTGTTCTTCCCGCAAGTTCCATCGCCGCCAATGCATCGCGCAAGTCTACGACCATGCAGTCAAGCCATTGAGTTAGTATCGTCGCTTCATTTCATTCCAAGCTCTTCTCGACCGCGAGCCTCTCTAGGGCCCAGAGCCAGCATCGCTTATTCTCGCCGCCAGCAGTGGCCGAAGCCCGAAGCGCTAAGTGAGACCAGCGGCATCGCGGTTTCCCTCCGAAGGAAGAGGTGGAGACTGCGCACGAACACCAACTTTTTTAGGACGGAAGATTTACAATCTCCTGTAATTTGTTCACATTTGCCAACATTTCTGCTGTGGCACGCGATAGGTTGGAACTTTGAAAGTGGTGGCACGATGATCAGTCGTAGTAAGACACCCAGGCAGAGAGAAATCCATGATTCGGTCGTGCTGTGAGCGATGGCAGCGCGTCACACGGGCTTGATGGCGAACGTGAGGTACCCCGTGTGCCCCTTGCTCTCTGCCGCCGGCCGCGCTGCCACGTACCTCGCCGCCTCTCCCACGCTCTCCGCCGCTCCCCTCTGCCGCCTGCCACCCTCCCTCCTCGCACCGCCCGCTGCTCCTGCCCCTTCCCTGCCACCTGCACTTGCTCCACCTCCGTCCTCCCCCCCTCCCCCCGCCGTGCCCGCCATCTCGCCATCGCCATCCTCGCCGCCTGCCGTCGACCCCCTGCCGCCCTCCTCCTCGCCACCCCCCTCCTCCCCTCTGCGCCGCTTGCCCGCCCGCCTGCCGCCCTGCTGAGCCCCCTCACGCTCACACCCCTCGCGCTCACACCCCTCGCCCACGCCTGCCTTCCCATCACCAACCTCGGCTTGGGGCTCGAGGTTCAAAGCATCCGACGCTGGCTTCAGACTCGGCACGATGAGGGCCTCCTCCCGCACCTCGTAGGTTCGGCTGAGCAGCTCCACGGTTCGAATGTCTTGAGAGATGAGAGGCATGGGAGTGGGCAGCACAGCAGGAAATAAGGTAGTGAGAGGAGGGCATGAGGTAGTGAGAGGAGGGCATGCGGTAGTGAGAGGAGGCATAAGGTAGTGAGAGGAGGCATAAGGTAGTGAGAGGAGAGGAGGCATAAGGTAGTGAGAGGAGGCATAAGGTAGTGAGAGGAGGGCATAAGGTAGTGAGAGGAGGGCATAAGGTAGTGAGAGGAGGCATAAGGTAGTGAGAGGAGGCATTAGGTAGTGAGAGGAAGCATAAGGTAGTGAGAGGAGAGCATAAGGTAGTGAGAGGAGGGCATAAGGTAGTGAGAGGAGGCATAAGGTAGTGAGAGGAGGGCATAAGGTAGTGAGAGGAGGCATAAGGTAGTGAGAGGAGGCATAAGGTAGTGAGAGGAGGCATAAGGTAGTGAGAGGAGGCATAAGGTAGTGAGAGGAGGCATAAGGTAGTGAGAGGAGACAGAGTCCTGCGCAAGGTGAGGTGGGTGGGCGGTGGATACAATGCACACGGCGAGCAGCAGTAAGTAAGAGGGGCGCGGGGATGCATCTGGCTCACGAAGCCCCCCTCGCAATGGGCGCGCACACCTGTGAGTCCCTCCCTCCTCATGGCGTCGCTGCAGCGCTGCACCTGCTCCATGCACGGCGAGAAGGAGCACACCCGCCCGCCCGCCACCACGCACGCAGCGGCAGAGGGCAGGGCGAGCCACGGGCTCGGCAGGTCCAGGAACGCCGCGTGCGCCACGCCGTGCAGTGCGGGGGGGAAGCCCTGCCCCTGGATGTCGCGCACCGCCACCGAGGCCACGTGCGCGACGCCGTTGGCCGCGAACTCAGCCCTGGGGGGGGGGGGGTTGGGGAGGGGGAGAGGGGTTGAGGCGCGTTGAAAGAGAGTGCAGCGAGGGCGGGATGCCCATGGATGCCCCCCCCACGACACTCTGATCCCGTGACGTGTGCGATGCCGCCACACAGCGGAGGCAGATCTGTAGGGGATGGGGGAGGGAGAGAATTGAAGTGGGCATGTGCATGGTTGAGTTGCTGCAAGGCGGGACAGTTGGTGGCGTGGGGGGTGTGATGTGATGGAAGGCAGATGCCAATGTGGGATGCGGGGAAGCATGCGGGCAAGCTGGGAAAGATGATATGATAGCACGTTAGCACGTTAGCACCTTACAACAGTGACGTGAAACGCCATGGGCAATGTCACTCGCGATCCCTTCCCGCCCTCAACCCCCCATGCCCCCCTTCCTCCAACCCATACTACCTGTTCTGAGGCACCTCTGAAAACTTGGATTGGA